GATTTTTTTAATAAACTAATTTTTGAAGATTTGATTAATAAACTAAAACCAAATGAAATAAATGGATATTATGTATATTTTTTTAATCAAATAATCAAAAATCTAATTTTACGATCCAATATTTATTTTTAAACTAATTTCGACATCTTTTTTTAAAGGCGACAAACGAGCACACAGTCCACCCGATGGTTAGTGAATGCTATGTCCCGAAAACATCTTTATCTATCCTCGATTAAGAATCAATATGCAGTTTTGCTGTCACCCCTCGGGGACTAAAATGGAATGCCTCGTTTCCGGTGAAAGGGTCTCCGGTTCCCTACACCAAACGAAACACAGTAGCGCGTGCTCCTTCCCCGGTCGAGCCAAACCACATGTGCAACAACCATAATATAGCTGCAGCATGACTCTACCACGTAGACTTAAATTTTCTACGTCGTCAATTAATCGTTTTCTGTCTAACAAATCAGTGGTGATTCACACCACACAACATGCGAAAATATGAGCTCTCTCTGAGGGATGGGGTAATGAGCAATTGATAAAGATGAAACTAAGATAACAAAGGAAACATTTTAGTGTTATCGTCATACTTTAGGGAACTGACAATATCCCAATTCAATGTCATCAAGAATTTATTTTTATACATATAACAAAAACCTTGTGTATTCCGTTAAGTGCGTTATCAGAAACAGTATTCAAACTTATAGAAATAACTGCATTTCAGAAAAGTCGACTATACTTTTTTTTAATTTAATTAAAATGTTTTTAAGCTATTTCATAGCTTCTATCGCGGGCCTTGAGCGCAGGGACCGAATCCAGAAATTCCGTAACGAAAAAACCTCACGCTCCCCACTCCGACGGGCACGGAGGTGTGGCTTGAAGGCCGTGCATTGTCTAACGTCGTTTCTTTTCGGCAGTCTTCGACACGGTGTTTGTGTGCGTGCAACTAGACGTATTGTACGACTCTACGAAGCTCGCACGAATCGAGACGAGCTGCTCCGAAATCGGACAAATACATAAGCAGCTGTTTATGAGAAAGTATATAGGTGTATAGGTATTTATGTACAACAGTGAATAGCTATACTTGTAAAATTTGTGTATAAAGTGTTTTGAATATGAATGAACAAAGTGCATTTATTATTTATTTATTTAATAAAAGAAAAAAAATTTGTTTTTTTTTCTTATCGGTCAGCACGCTCAAAAAGTGTAACTTGAATTAATATCAAAGAAAAAGAAATACTGCATAAATAAAATAAATAAATAATTATAATTGCATAAGTTGATACAAAATGCTATGCAATAACTTTACCGCGGCAGTCCCCGAGTGCCACACGTATTTTTTTTATTTGCAAGGTGTGGTTTTATTGCCTCTAACTGCGATGCGCATTGACGTAGCGGTAACTTTGACAATACTACCCTGCCATCGCAGGGGTAATCTTTACATTTCGGTAGTTCGACAGTAGACACACCATAACGGTAAAAAAATTGGTAGATTGGATACCACTTGTGGCAACTCACGGAATGGGCCTGCTAAGGCAGGTCTGCCGAAGTATAAGGTTCCAAAAGTGCTTGCTTCTACAGAAAGGGAGGCCCTGCAAACATTTTTAACCACCGACGCAAACAGAGGGGTGTTATATGTTTACAAACGTGTGTATCTGTGTGTCTGTCCGTGGCATCGTAGCTCCCAAACGAACGACAAGCGAGCACACAGCCCACCTCATTGGAAGTGGATGCTGTGGCCCAAAGACATCTACATCTATCCGCGATTTAGTATCAAAATGCAGATGCGTTGTCACCCCTGAGGACTAAGATTAGAGACACAGCAGCATTAAGCTGCTATTTCACGTTGGTATTCTGTGAGAGCGTGGTCTTTCTCCGATCGAGTCTACCGACCCCTTCATGCCACAATCATAATCGTATATATTGTTGCAGCGTGGCTTTAGCACGTATAAAAAGGTTTGTTTTGAGAGGTGATTTGATCGAGAGTGTCCATAGCTATGATTCAAGAAAATCTCTCCAGCCGTTTATAGATCATCAGCTCTTTCAAGTTTAGTTTGAAAACGTGATCCATTATCCAGTATATTCGACGCCTAATTGAATTGTAAGTGTGTGATAATTTTTTTTTTTACAATCGATTCGGTGTTTTGAAAAATATTATTTTTTTATAGGATAGGGTGACAAACGACCACCCACCTCTCCCACTCCTCCTCTCCGAACTAAGATGGAATGCCTCGTTTCCAGTAAAAAGGGATTATTCTTCCCCACCATAAAATCTGTCAGTTATTCCAAACTGGCCAGTAGTACTCACTTAGCGGTCAGCCTGCAGTCCACTTCACCTGAGGATTAATAAATATTCGCCGTATACGCATTTCGCCTCGGAATACCTGTCGTATTATCGATGCTGGTGTGTTTTTCCTAGTTTAGTAGTGTTGGGAGTAGCGCTGACGGGGATAGTGCTCGCGATAGAGAGAGGGCTGATGGTGCTCTTCAAACTAGCTAAGTCAGGACATTTTATTTCATTACGCGAATAATAGCGCATTAATTTCTACCCACCTTAATATAATGGATTTCCGCAAAGTAACGCCTGATTCTGTTGATTGATTTGAAGTTTACTAAGTTACCTAAGTTGCAGTGCAATTTATGTATGTTAAACGGTTCGTTGAATCGTTGGAGTTTACGTGTCATGGAGTAGAGACCACGCTTAGGTGACCGCAGTATGGGGCGCCCCCTGGCTAGGTGGAGTGACGATCTGCGTAGGGAACCTGTCAGCAAGTGTTTTGTGAAACCGAAGATTGGACTAAATGGCATGGGTCTTGGTAGAGGCCTATGTCCAACAGTGGACTGCAGCAGTCTGATGATGATGATGGTGGATGGTGGTGGTAAAATTCCTCCAAGATACAGACACATCAGTACAGTATCTTGTGTGATAGTAACTAGACTTGCAACGAATATTCGGCCATCCTTCAGTATTCAGTCTATTCGGGTTTTTTTTCCTAGTCGGCCGAATACCGAATATCTGGATACTATTCGACCCGAAACCCAATACTTGAGTAAGATATTTTGTCGTAGTTAGATAATTGGTAAAACACGTGAATTATCGTAAATAAAGTAAAAAATTATAATGCATAAAGACTAATTATTTTGCATTTTCGGGCAGTAGTTTGCTAATTTTCTTCTCGTAGACAATCGCAGCTTTCGACAATAGTCGCTCTGAATAAAAAAAACGTTACTTCCTTCCCTGCCGAACAATTCTGCTGAATATTTGGCTATTCGGCCAGGGAGCCCGCAGAATATTCGATATTCGGCGTGTGACCTAGGTTAACACGTAACGTAATTAACGCACTTTGAGAAAGTACTTTGTTCAGAATCGTTTACTGAATCGATTCCTATCATTTTTAATATAGGTAATTTTTTATCCCAAAAATGATTAAAACTACGTAAATTACAGTCACACTAAATCTGTACAGTCAAAACAAACTGAAATGGACCGTAACTTAAGGCAATAAGACTTTTAAGAGTGCAGTTTTATTTGTATTATTACTAATTCTGTCATTCAATAAAAATAAAGAAAAATCAACTTTATTTCAAGCACGTTAAAGTCTTTGCGTTCGTGGATTTGTACTGTGACCACAACATTCTTCCGGAATTAGTATAACTAATTTGATAAATAATTAGTGCATAAAAATGTTTAACTAAAATTCAGTGTATGTATTATGATTATAACATAATATACTAATTGGAGTGTCTGAGGGTGTGCGTTAATTACGTTACATTTTGAATATGTATAGTCAATTGCACTATATGTTATCCCTAATTGAATTATCGCGCTTTTTATATTAAATGTGATTAGAAGTCTGAGACAAGAAAGTTTTACGGAAATATTTTTCCGTCATGAATATAAAATTGAATGAAGAAAAAAATAGAGCATGTATTTATTTTTTATGTAATTTAATTAAATATTAATTTAATTTAATATGAATCTAAATTGCTCACACTCCTAAAATTATTTTAAATATATTAGATCATTGAAGGCCAAATCAAAGAGCAATAACAAATATATGTATATGGAAAAATATATGAAGATTAAAAATGTGTACACTTGTGTGTACATTATTTTCCTCCTAGATTTCTCAAAAGTACTTATATTTATAAATCTATTTTGGGAAAAATACTATATTTGTTCAAAAAAAGAGGTCGCAACCCTAGTGTGACCGTATGTACTATTCATTGCGATTCTAGTAGCAACGTTTGTTAAACCCTGACGAAAATGTAGAGGTGTTACGAGCTTGTAGTGTGTATTTTTGTGTGCGTGCGTGCGTGCGTGCGTGCGTGCGTGCGTGCGTGCGTGCGTGCGTGTGTGTGTGTGTGTGTGTGTGTGTGTGTGTGTGTGGCGTCATAACTCCTGAACGAATGGACCGATTTTGATTTAGTTTTTTTTTTGTTTGAAAGATGACTTAATCGACCATGTTCTTAGCTATGATTCATGAAAATCTTTTGATTTTCTGATGAAAAAGCCGTTTGAAGATCATCAGCTCTCTTTTTGTCGGTGGTTCTTAAAAAAAATTATTCAAGTTATTATGAGAAATATCCTGTCGAAAGTTCCAGTGGCAAACAAACTATTACCTAGATTCTGCCTTATCTACACATCGAAATAAATGGTTTTTATTAAGCTTACGTTTCATTTGCATGATGTTAAAACATAAATAACCATTTTGTAGATTTTTATGTGTCTTTCTATCGAGGCTAATATTCGGAACGGCTGAACCGGGCGTTATAAAACTTTACCAACAGACGGAGAGCAGACTATAGCAATTTTCTTATCAAATTTACAATATTACTTACCGTTTGTTTCAGGTATTGGAGGTCGCGGAGTACATTCCAGAGTAGCGTCACTACCGACTGAAATTATTTTGCATTAAGAAGCCATTTAGAGTCTAATCGGCAACGCGCGACCCACGCTTCTATGATACCAAAGTTTTGAAATTTACAAGAATATTTACAAAATGGTGCCCCAACAGTACTGCCTCAGGTGGAAGCACCACCACACCAATGTCCAGAACATGTTCGCGCAGCTGTTGGAAAAAGGTTAGTGTACTTATTTTCATATTTCTGTTGTACTTCTTTTATCTATATACGTCTACTAGCTGTTACCAGTGACTTCGTCCACGTGGAATTTATTACAATTGGATTTCATAGGTGTTCGTTTTTTTTGTATGTGAAACTATTTTCTAAAATAAAAGTAGCTTAAGTTACTCCTTATAACATCAGCTATCTGCCAGTGAAAGCCCCGCCAAAATAGGTCCAGCCCTTTCGGAAATAAGAAGAAACTGGCAGACGGACAAAATAATAATGATCTATTAAATTTACGCGAACACTACACATTGAATAAAACTATTATTTAAGGATTTTATCGCGTTTAATTACTTAATTTTCAGTTTTTGAATATTATATGTAGGTAGCCGGACTAACAATGACATTGGGACGTCCAACATCTCAGTCCCCCCCGTAACCATTGGTGCTGTAAAGCACCCGAAACGTCGGGATAATAAAAAAAAATTAAAGTAATTAAACGCGATAAAATCCGTAAATAATAGTTTTATTCAACGGACAAAAGAATTTAAAATGGTTTTTGTGGTAAACATTTAGTAAAAAAAACTGTTATTTTGACATTATGAACAGACGCTGGTGGTCATTTCGATGATTTGGACGTAGGAGGAATGAATAAGTGGGGAGAGAGTTACAAAGCATGCGTGCTGCAGTAGTGGCAGAGTCGGCAGCGGACACCCAGGATGGAAGTTGAACGGCCAAATATGCGATATTTGGAAGATGGGCTAATTTACATAAAGTACTCTTTATCGACTTCTGTTACCGACAGGCTTGTATGCGTGGAAATGTAGATGTGAAAGAATTGAGACAGGTGTCAATACACCGACTGTCACCCTAACACCGCTTAATGTGCCGCCCATATTTCGCCTGAATCGAAGGCTTTCTGATAGTCCACCTACACCAGACAAAACGTCAATGCCATATCATTTAATTCTAAACGTATCGAAAATTGCGGCCCACTAATTATTTATAAAAATAATGTTTATTTGTTCGTATTTCGCTGTTATACCGTTCATCAGGTTGCGCTAAAACTTAGTCAACGTATTGATCGTGCTTCCGCGAAGGTTATTCATAAATACATACACACGCCTTTCACCCAGAGGGGTAGGCAGACACTACAGACTTCCATTTGGCACGATCCTGACACACCTCTCTCGCCTCCTTCACATCCATATACCTACGCATACATGCATTCGCATGATTGCAAAGGTTATAGGCGTTACCATTCCTAATTAAGCAATATAACTCTTCCAAATTCAACATAATATTTCCACAATAATTTAGTTTGCGGGCACCAACGCGCCTGGTACCAGCTATATAGTTAGATATAAAAAAGCCTCCGCCCAGCTCGCTCGCCTTGATAACCCCTCAGCCACCGAGTCCCGTGCGGGCGGTAAAGAAAAGTAGTCTCTAAGTATAAGTTTTAAGGTTTAAAGTGCTGTGGGTGGGTGCGGTCGCATGAGACCGCTCGGGGGCTGAGGGGTCATCTGAGCTGGTTTTAAAAACCGTTATTCATAAAATTGAAGAGATTTCGATGGACATAGAACACTAAAAATAAATATATTCAATCCGCTAATTCAATTAGTTGGTATATTGCTAGTGTTATTGGCTTTTTGTGTAAATTTTGTTAATGCAATTAAGACAGAATGGAGATCTAGTTTAATATCATAAATTTGTTCCATTAACGTTAGTTGTTTTATCTATGCAAATATATTATGTTATGTTAATTTTGTATATTGAATGCGATGGTACCGCGATCTGAAGCAAAAGAGAAGACTCGGGCGCAATACTTACATTTATGTAATGGCTGATTGGCAAAACGTCTCAGCTAACAAATGAAAGCAAAACAGCAGTTTACAAAACTATTTTGAAGCCAGTATAGACGTACGGAAAAGAATTCTGTAATAGCAACATAGAAATCCTGGAAAGGTTTCAGACTAAAGCTATTAGATCTACGAGTATGTTCAACATTCCAAAATGCACCCACAATAAATATATTCTGCACGAAGTGAGGTTCAACACTGTGAAACAAGAAATCGCTGCTCGAAGCTTAAACTGCCAACAAAAATTAACTTTACCATGTTAATGCTCTGGCTGCTTAATTAACGGGTTCTCGAAGTACCATTTACACAAGACTGGGAAGGTATGGCGTTTAAAATCTCATGGAACGATTCACCAAAGAATAGTGTAGTGGTCGATGGACAATTCCCCGTCCTTAAACAAACAAAATAATAAGACATAGCTCAGACAAATTGATACCAAAATGTGCGCGACAGATTGTTGTGTAAGCGGGATATACTAAAAAAACCATTGTTATATTGCTTTAGGTTTAACTTTCCAAAAAATAATTGCTTACGCTAAACCAGTGCTTTATTATAATCGTTTGTGAAACCCTTTGTGACTCACGTACAAAAAACATGACATGGCCAAAGTATAGTCGAATTTATAAACACGATGGTGTTGCATTTAACTTGGAAAGGCAATCTAAAAGTACGAATTTTCCTGTTAAATTTTCAGTTTTTATTCAAAATCTCTATATAAAATATGTAACGCACACCCTCAGACACCCCAATTAGTATATTATGTTATAATCATAATACATACACTGAATTTTTAGTTAAACATTTTTATGCACTGATTACTTATCAAATTAGTTATACTAATTCCGGAAGAATGTTGTAGTCACTGTACAAATCCACGAACGCAAAGACTTTAACGTGCTAGAAATAAAGTTCATATTTCTTTATTTTTATTGAATGACAGAATTAGTAATAATACAAATAAAACTGCACTCTTAAAAGTCTTATTGCCTTAAGTTACGGTCCATTTCAGTTTGTTATTACTGTACAGATTTAGTGTGACTGTAATTTACGTAGTTTTAATTATTTTCGGGATAAAAAATTATCTATATTAAAAATGATAGGAATCGATTCAGTAAACGATTCTGAACAAAGTACTTTCTCAAAGTGCGTTAATTATGTTACATGTTGTATAAAATCGAGCAGTCCGTTAGTCCCGCTAAAACTCAAAAACTGCTCGAACTATTTTGATGATTTTGATTTTTTTATGGTTAGTTAGTTAGGTAGATAGTTAAAAGTACCTGGATGACCGAGCTTTGCTCGGAATTTTTTTTGGATATCGTGTTTTTTGGAAATTATATTGAGATACAAAAATATTTTTCGATCTTACCAACATAATAGAAAAACTGAAGTGGTTATTTAAATAAAAAATCGTGAGTGCAATTAGTTCAATTTAATGTTTCGTGTTGTTAAACAAATACCAAAAAAAGGGCTCCAAATAATAGATTTTTTCACAAAAGAAGAGAACTTGAAAAAAAGTTGGACCGAAGATATCTGGACTCGAAACGGGGTACTTCGTGACCGCCCGATAACCGATCTGGGCTATTTATTACCTTACCACTTAACTTACATTGTATTACTTAACCCTTAGCGCTTTGTCAAAATTTACCGTTGTATTCTAGTGATATTATAGCAGTTTTCCATTGCATGAAAACGCGGATAAAACAAAATTTTCTAAAAATGAATTCTAGCTAGATCGATTTATTATACCAGAAACACTTAGGACACTAAATTTCATGAAAATCGTTGGAGCCGTTTCCGATCATCATCATTACAGCCCTTCACAAGTCCTCTGCTGAACATATAGGCCTCCCCCAAGTAATGCCACAAAGCACGGTCCTGAGCCACCTGCATCCATCGACTTCCTGCATATCTTACCAGGTCGTCACTATCTAGTGGGGGGTCGCCCTACACTACGCCTACCGGTACGAGGCTGCCACTCGAGAACCTTTCTTCCCCATCGGTTATCGGTTCTTCGAGCTATATGGCCGGCCCATTGCCACTTCAGCTTACTAATCCGTTGGGCTATGTCGGTCACTCTGGTTTTACTGCGGATATCCTTATTTCTGAGTCTATCACGCAGAGAAACTCCGAGCATAGGCCTCTCCATAGCTCGCTGAGCGACCTTGAGCGTCCTCATACGGCCAGCAGAGGACCACGTCTCAGATCCGTAAGTCATCACTGGCAACACGCACTGGTTGTACAATCTAGTTTTTAGAGATATATAAATATACATATATATATATATATACAAGAATTTCTCGTTTAAGGGTACACTAGTCGCTTATTCTTCTATACAAACGTAGTCCGGCGATTACTCCACTGTTTGATGGTGTACGTTCAAAATAAAAAATGATTTCAATTTGTCTCATCATTATCTAGCCCTGTATGGAAACAAAAAAGTAAAAAAAGAGTATGTTTAGAAGTTATAAGCGTCGGAAATTCCGAATTTCAACACTAGTTTTAACACATCTTTGGGCGGAAATAAATACCATAAGAAGAACGAAAATTGCAAAACAGTTACCATACAGGGATAGATTAGTTGTTCAAAAATGCAAATAATTTTATTTTAAACAAATACATTCAATAGATTTTTCGTGACATCCAGACTAATAAAGGTTTCCGGGCTAGCATGAGCCGGAGAGAATATATCCCCGGTGAGAGGATATAATTTTTATCCCTTGCTTAGTTTTATCCACCCTGCGAGCATGGGCAAGAGACAAAAATTATATCCCCCGATTATATCCACTGACAAGAGGTAAAATTATCTTATCTCTATAGTATATCCCCGTTTGACATAACGAGTGGACATATATCTCCCCGTCCGTAGCATGGGGCCAAGGGAAAGAGAAAAAATTATCCCTTTTTGACATGTGAAAGGGACAATATTATCCTCTTTCGTGGACGTGGGTTTAAGTTTATCTTCAATCCATTTTAATACAGAAAAGATGTCTCGAGGCTATTACTTCATTTTCGTATCAGAAATTGAAAAACAAGAAAGAAAATTACATCGGCGATCGATACGTGATCAGAATACTTAATCTATTGGAATTCTCCGACAACGAATTTCTACGCCGGTTTCGGATGTTTAAAGATTGTTTTGTATTTGTGTAAAGAACT